GAGCATGAATTCGTGTTAGCAAATATCCACAAAAAAAAAAAAAAAGATTAAAAGTCCAAGATGTGGTAATAATTTTCAACTTACAATTCTGTGTTCAGACTTTATAATTCTAAGACTGAAGTTGGGTTTTAGCACCTCAAATTCAGGACTCTGAATTCTTAAACCAGCTGTTTCGAATGTGTCTGCTTTCAGAGCCAGCCAGGCAATATAAATGACTACAGCAGCCCTTCAGTGGAAACATAAGGCCATAAACAGTAGATGGGCCGTGCAAATGGGAAAAAGCATCCTCCACCTATGAGATGCAAGTGTGATTTTGTTTTCTAATGCTATCTTGCCAAATAGATAGAATGTCCCTGCTGCCTGATTGAAATGAACTGTGATTCCTACTTTGTATCACTTATAAAAATCAACTCAAAATGAATCATAGATGCAAATTGAAAACCTCAACTATAAAAATTCTAGAAGAAAATAAAAAAATAGAACAACTGTGTGCACTTTTGTTAGCCAGAGATCTTAGATAACACTGAAGCTTGATCCATGGGAAAATTTGACTTTATTAATATTAAAACTTCTGCTGTTTGAAAGACAACGCTAAGACAATAAAAACACAAATCATAGATTGGAAGAATATATTCTTTATCAGGATACATTTGATAAAGGATGTGTCTAGATACCAAACTCTTGAACTCTTGTAATGAGAAGACAAAGAACCCAATGAGAAAAGGCAAAAAAGGTAGAAATTGTATCACAGAAGGCATACAGATGCCAAATAAGTGAGTGCTCAGTATTCATAGTCATCATAAATTAAAATCATAATGAGATGCCAGTGAACACCTGTGAGAATGGCTAATGTAAAAGACAGAGTGGGGTGCTACTGGGAGCAATGCACAGTGCTACAACCAGTGTAGACCATTTTGCCGGGTTTGGGAAATACTACACATTTGCTTTATGATACAGCTATTCTACACCTAGATATTTACCCAAGAGAAACAAACACAGTACACATGAATGTTTATGGAAGCTCTGTTTATGACAGTCAAAACCTAGAAATGATTCAAAATTTTATGAACAGGTTAGTGGCTAAACAACTGTGGCATATCCATGTATAGAATGTCACTGCACGATCAAAAGGAGTGAGCTAGTGATAGACCCAATCACACTGATGAGTCTCCAAATACCATGATGAGGGAAAGACGCAGACAAACAGAGAGGACACATGGTCCATCCTGGTCTGCTTGGGCTACTGTAACTGTATACCATAGAGTAGGAGGCTTAAACAACACACATTCATTTCTTACAGTTTTGGGAGATGGAAAGTCCAACATCAAAGCACAGGATGAGTCAGTCTCTGTAAGTGCCGATTCATGACTTTGAGACAGCAGTCTTCAAGCTGTGTTATAGTTAGATCTAAAAATGTCTTCCAAAAGTCTCATGTTCAGTGGTGGGGCGTAAGTGGTGGGTCACCAGAGGCCTGACCTGGAAGGGTGAATTCTGGTCCCCAGATCTTCCCTTGTCTCTCTGCTTCCTGATTGCCATGTGTTAAGCAGCTTTTCTCCACCAACTGTTTCTACCATGCAGTTTCTGCCTTGGGGCTGGCCAGCCATGGACTGAATCCACTGAAAATACAAGCTGCATCCCTCATCCATGGAATCCAGGCAAGAGAACTCTCTGAGGTGTTGGTTTTAAGGGCATCAATCCCATCCAAGAGGATTCCACCCTTAAGACCTAATCACTTACCAAAGGCCTTACCTACTAATACCATCCCATGGGAAGTTAGGATTTTAACACATGAATTTGAAGGAAATACAAAATTCAATCCATTGTACTCTTTGCTTTAATTTATATAAAGTTTTAGAAATTGCAACTGATCTATTAGAGAACAGATCAGTGGGGACAGGAGAGATTAGAATAGTTGGAAGGGATTACAGAGGATATGAAGAAACTTTTATGGGTCTGTCTTTATCTTAATTGTGGTTGTTTCATGAATGCATACATATGTCAAGCTGTCACACTGTATGCTTTAAGCATGTGTAGTGTATTGTATGTCAATTATACCTCAATAAAACTGTTAATAAAAAAGAAAAATGTCACTTTATATAAAAAGGCTTTGGCGCACTTCTCCAAACCACTTTAATGTACTGTCACTGGCTGAAAACATTGTCTAAGTCCTCTCTAGGAGGGAGACTTGATGCTGCCATGTGTTCTACCGCCCTTACATCCTGAATGTTGCCCCAGCATGACTGTGGCTGCCACAGTGGGAACCTGCATCCCATGTCCACTTCCTCCACTGCTGGACAGAGAATTCCTTGTGTTCCCTGCTTGTCTGAACCACTGCTTCCAAAGTCTGGGATGGGTGAATCGGACTGATGGGGCTTAGGTCAGTGAGCTGTTTGTTAGGAAGGCTGTGAAAGCGTCTGACACTGTCTCCTTCTACAATGCACAGACTCGAGTGCTGTTATCTGTGTCATATATTCTACATGGATGTGCCTTATTGGTGTGCGTCCTCCCTTCTCTATTATGATCTATTAATTGATTGATTGATGAATGAATGAATGAATGAATGACTCTTCATCCTGATTTGCACCTTTGAATCTGGGCAGCATGCCTCCCCTACCACTCATTGTCACCGGAGAGGCAGCTACAGGCCAGAGCACTTCAGTGGAGACGTTTGAAAAGACATGCCAAGCTGTTTTCTGGGGTAAATGTGCTTTAATATTCCAATTCAAATCTATGCTTCTCCCTTTTTCTAAATCACACTGAGAATGTTAATTTCCCCCAGTTTAGTTCTGACTCCTTCTAGAGCAAATAAAACGATTCTAAGATGAAGAATTCTACTCCTTAACTGAAAAAAACCCTTATGTTATGTTTTTTTTTTATTATTTGTTGACCAGAATCATAGTCTTGTATATATGGTCTGAAAGAGCCCTCAAACCAGGTTGTAACTAAAACCACTGTTTGCTTTTGGCTGTACATAGAAAAATTTGATTTGTGATGACAGGGTTGTCAGTCTGATAACACAACTGCAATTTCTCTAGCTATTTACCTTTAAATCTCAGTATTACACTTGCTACAGATGATATATGAAAGTAAAATATTTGCACAGTGGTGTGATTCAGTCCAGGGAAGAGGTAGTTGTGCACCTGAGGGAGAGGAGGGGCTCAGGTGGACGTCGCCAGAACCAACATTTTTGTAGGTGAGAAGTAAATTTCATTGTTGCGCGTGATCTGTGGATGTGCCCCAGGTTAGGTCACTGCCCTGGTGGCAGCTACTGACAAATGCTGCAGGGCTGAAATATAATCAAAATCTCAGCTTCAGTTTGTTGAGGGGTGGAAAGGCAGGTGACAGGCTGATTGAATGCATCAAAGTTCCTCTATGTGGTCATGTTATTAGAGGAACTAACTCGAGCAAGTTCTCCAAGGTAATTGGAATTTCTAGGTGCTTTTTTTTTTTTTACAACTTTGCAAATGTTCCCAAATCTGCCTTCCTTTGGAAACCTAGCTAGTACCTTTGGAGAGCTCCAGCCTTCCTCTAGTCCCTCTATCCCCACACTAGGGACACGTGGCTCCCAAGGAGGGGTCTGAAATACAGTGTGTGTCTGAGGGAAGACCTGGCCTATCAGATTGTGATGGTTTAAGACAGCTCGTTAAAGAAAACCAACTTTAATTTACTTCAAGAAAAGCTCATTTTGTTGCTAATTTAATTTTAGCAAAAGGCCTTATGTAGAAGGTGCCCCAGGAATTTCTATAAGATCTATTTATCCAACCCAGGAGGATTATCTGGCTCTTATAAGCTAATCCTCTTGAAAAGTATGTCTCAGTTTCATGAGGGAGCATGTGATATTCTTTACATTATGAGTACTGGAATTTGATCTGGAATAAATGAGGCAGATGGCACCCTCTGCCACCTATGTCTCTGTCATTGCAGACAAGTAAGCTGTTCTGGGGTGGGGAGGGAGTGGTATACGTATTGAAATTTCATTTTAGTGTGAGAAAATCAAACAATACATTTAATGCAATTGCCAAGTTGACGTATAGAAATCGGTTGCAATGAATTCAATCCGTATTTATTGAGTTGCTACTGTGTGTCAGACACAGTTACAAATACTGAGCTAAGGGAATTCAGTGACAGGACTCTGTCCTCAGAAGCTCATGTTCAAGTGGAGGAAGTCAGATGGGGAGCGAGTCAACACAGCAAAATGTGCTAGGATCAGATACTAAGTAAGGCCAGGAAGAAACGTCACGCAAGGAAGAAGAATAGGGAGATCAGAGGGAGGTTGAGATTTTAAGTCTCGAGCTCCAGGCTAGCCTCTTTGGGGAAGTGACATTTAATCAGAGAAGGGCAGCAGGAAGAGGAGATTCTCCAAGCTGAGAGAACAGCAAGGGTCCCGAGGCAGGGATCACAAGAAAGCCAGGGTGGCGGGAGGAAGTAGTAGGGAATGAGGTTGGGGAGTTTGTGTAAAACCAGCTCACAAAGATCCTTCTAAGTATGGGGGAGAAATTGGGGTTTGACTCTCAGAGTTGTGAAGAGCCAGGGAACAACTAAGCACAGGGGAATGGGGTCCAGCTCATGTTTCAGGTGGAGCATTTTTCTCCAAGCCAGTATACCCTTCTTCTGTTGTCAGTTTCGCGCCGTTAGTTCCTTGAGTCAGCATTCTCTCCACTTCTGGCAAACACCCTTCACAGCCACTCACATCCCTGGGTCTTAAGACAAAGGAAAATAAATTCTATTCTCTAGAGATTCACGATGAAATTGAAACATGGTGCCAAAGACATAGTGTGCTCAAGCATCAGGTATGTTTGGAGATGTAATTTGACTGTTTTCTTCCTTTTCCTTTCTGATTCTTTGAAATAATGTCTTAGGGAACGGAGTTTTAGGAAGTAAGGACAGAGACAAATTTTGATTATTAAATAAATTTTATTTGGACCGTGATATGGGCTAGTCTCTTTTTTAAAAAATAGACTGTTTTAGATTAATAAATTGTATATTTTTGAGTAGTTTTAGGTTCACAGCAAAAGTGAGCAGAAAGTACAGAGTTCTTGTGTACCCTGTCCCACATAGGCACAACCTCCCCCACAGTAGATATCCTGCAGAGGGGCAGATTTGTTGCAACTGACGCACCTACAATGACCCATCAGTATCACCCGTAGTCCATAGTTTACAACAGAGTTCATTCATAGTGTTGTACATTGCCACAGGGGTTGGCAAACATAGAATGGATTACACACACCCATCATTGTGTATAACATAGGGTAGTGTCACAGCCCTCAACATCTGCACTGGGCCTATTTCATGCCTCCCTCTCCTAAACCCCTGGAAATCACTGTTATTTTACTGTCTTCAAAACTTGGCCTTTTGCAGAAGGTCATATAATTGGAATTCTACAGTATGTAGCTTTTCCTGACTGGCTTTTTTTTTACTCAGTCATACGCACTTAAGTCTCCTCCATGTCTTTTCATGGTTTGATAGATCAATTCTTTGTAGTGCTGAATAATATTCCATTGTCTAGTTGTATATAATTTCTTAATTCACCTCCCAAAGGACACAGAGTTGCTTCCATGTTATGAATACATCTGCCACCAACATCCATGGGCAGTTTTCTGTGCACATAAGTTGTCCTTTCCTTTGGGTGAATATCAAAGAGCATGATTGCTAGATCATATGGTAAGGGCATGGTGCTTAGTTTTGAAAGAAATTGTGAAGATGCCTTCTTAAATGGCTGTACCATTTTGCATTTCCACTAGCAGCAAACAAAAATTCTTCTTGCTTCACATCCTTGCCAGCATTTGATGTTGTTAATGCTTTTGATATTGGCCATCTTAATAGGTGTGTAGTGGTAGCTCTTCATTTAAATTTGCAATTCCCAGTGACATGTAATGTTGAACATCTTTCCACATGCTTACTCGCCCTCTGTATGTTTAGTGAGGCATCAGATAGCCTCTTTTACACCTCTACTCTTGCTGTCCTAGCTTCCTTATCATTCAAGTTATCATCATCTACAAGAAAGGGTAAAGGTCCTTTTCCCATTGCTCAAACTGAGGGCTTAGCATAAAGGCTGATGGGTAAACTGGTGTGGCTTGACTTGTTGTTTTATTTGAGTGCCTATTGTTCTGGCTGGATGCTACAAGGTAGGCATGATCACTGTTTTTGTAGAAAAGAAGTTTAGGGAGCAAGGGCAGATATTCCAGAGCACACAGATACAATGATTTAGTTACATATTACTATAAATACTAGGAAGTAAAAAGATAGGATGCTCTAAGACAGAGGTCCCCAACCCTTTTGGCATGAGGGACTGCCTTTGTGAGAGAGAATTTTTTCACAGACAGGAGGGCAGAAGTAGGGGGTTATGGAGCTCAGACACCAAAGGAAGCGATGGGGAGTGGCTATAGATACAGATAAAGCTTATCTCCCTTTGCTGCTGCTCACCTCCTCATTTGTAGCCCAGAGCCTAACAGGAGTTAGGGATCCCTGCTCTAAGGCACGGATTGGCAAATTATGGTTCATGGACTATGTCCCACTACCTGTTTGTTTGATTTTAACAAAATATGTTATTTGAACACATTTTGTGCCCATTCATTTTCCTATCATCTATGAACGATGTCTGCTACAACTGCAGAGTTGAGTAGTTGCTACAGAGACCAGATGGCCAGCAAGGATGAAGCTATTTACTTTCTGACCCTTTATAGAAACAGTTTGCTGCCCCTACACTAAGCACATCTAACAGAAGAGATCTAATCTCAGGGATCAGGGAGGCTTTCTGAGGAAGTACATTTACAGTGAGAGAGGTTTGAAAATACGGTGGCCGGCAGTTTGTGGAGGGGTGGGCTGTTGAGCTTAAGTTGGGGGATGTGTGTAGTTCCAGGCGAAAAGGACAGCATGAATGAAGAGCCTGAATCAGCAGGGTCTTGGCGCTTTGGAGGAACACAGTGAAAGTTGGTGTAGCCGAGGTTGATTGTAAGGCTCAAAGTTCAAAATCTGGAGGGCACTGGATCAGGAAGGGCAGGGCTGCCGATGACAGCCCCAGCTAAGATGCGATGTGCTGTCAGGAGAGGGAAAGGATGCCAGGATTTCCAGAACACCAAAGGTCACAGTCCCAAAATAGTTAAGTCCTGCCTGCCTAAGGAACATGGACTTCCCTCATCAGAAGTTGAGGGGCTCCCTTTTCTCTTCCCCTCACAGCTGAGGCCATGAGTTAGGGTACATTCTCATTCAAACCAGGAAGGCTGAAAGCCAGCAGGTGAAAAGACTAGGGTGAGAGGGAGCGCTGCAGGAAGCTCCATGAAGGGAAGGAGTACCAGAGGCTGGGGGCAGGAAGGGGAGAGGCTGTGGGCTGGCTAGCTCATGGGCAGACCTGTCAGGGCCCGTCAGGCACATGGGACCTCAAGGACACTGTGGAACAAGCCAGCCTAGGAGCTGGTAAAATAGATGAGGATGGCTGGGCCTGAGTGACAGGGAAGAATGATGGACAGAGTGGGGAGAGCCCACAAGGAAGACGCTAGAGCCTGCCTGTCTCTCCTGGAATCCGACTTGGCCTCTCCTGTCTCTTAATTAGAAATAGGCCTCTGGGGCTAAAGCTGTTGCTGGGCGGTAGAGCACTTACCTAGCATACACAAGGCCCTGGGTCCGTGTATACATTAGTCTCTGCTGGCTGATTGTCATAATAAACATGTGTCAGTGTTTGCCATATGAATCGTGCCTCCATACACGTACCCCTCTAGCAATTCACAATCTGCATAACTGTTCACAGTCTCTCTCTCTCTCTCTCTCTCTCTCTCTCACTGCGGGCCTGGGGCTAATTCTTGAAGCTCTTCAAAAAGCCACCCTGCTGTCTCAGCACCATAGAAACTGAGTTCAGTGCAGTGAACTCAGCAGTGTCTCCAGGCCATAGTTTCTGGACAATCACCTCCAAGAACGATCTAGGTGCCTATACCCCTACCGTGTTTCAAAAAGTCTGCCTCCTTTGTTCTCTGCCTAGGAGCCTAAAATACCAGCACTGTCACACCCTTCCGCTGGAAGCACAACAGCTCCTGATGGACACAGCAGCTTCCAGGGAGAAGGTAACAGCTATTTGTAAGCTGTGCCCAAGATGACCTGAGATATGGTGCCCAGGATACATGCAAGGGTAGCGGAGAAAGAATTATTCATGGTATCTTGCTCACCACAAGCTCCTGAGGACACTTGCCACCGGGGAGGGGAAGAGATGCTGAAGACAATCCTACTACACACATATTTGGTCAGAGCAGGCTTTTGGCCAGAGTGTGCCCTTTGAATAAATTGGTCACTTCAGAGATTCTGACACTCCTGGCTGGAATGGAAATTGTAGCAAGGAATATAAAACAATGTTTAAAGTCCAACTGAGTCAGTTCACAGTGAAATAGGAGCATCTCTAATACCAGTGCGCAGAAGGGGCGGGAGACACGAGAAAAGATGGCGCCGAGAGAGAGGCCTGGGGAATGCGTGAGACTCCCGAGGGGCGGTGTGGGGAAGAAAACCCTCTCACTTTGCACCTCTTGCACACACCAGGCAGCCGCCCTGGCCGAGCATACACACTCGCAATGGACTTGGCATTACTGGCAGGAGTGGAAGATGCTCCCACGTGACAGCTCTGTCCTGAGCAAAGAGAAGGGACCACAGCTGCCATCTGCATCCTCGAAAGTAGTGACCCATCCATCCTCTGAGGTGCCTCATCTCATCTCCAGAGTCAGGGCGGAGTGGGGACAGCTGGACACGAAGTCCCTGCCGCCCTCACGCGTGCAAGCGAGGGCATCGGTACAGGGCGTGTTTCCATTCTCTTGTTTGCTTCTCTTGGCAAAGCCCCTTCCACAGCTGCAGAGGGAAACAGTCAAGATGAAAGCATTTCGGAAGCACTTACATAATAATCCTGTCACTGGCGGACTTAGAAAATAGATCAGCTTTTCCTGAGAAGGTGACAAGCCGGAGTGTGACCCATTAACTGTTATCAAGCCCTTCCCCAGAGCCTGGAGGGCCCTCCAACTCGAGCCAGGCCCCTTAAAACTGCCCCTCAAAACCCTTGTCTGCAAGACGCCGCTAGGAGTGCTGCCGACGTGACAACGTCTCATTCATGATGTTCTTTTCAGAAGACACTGCCAACCAGTACCCTGTAATAGATCTTACTTGTGAGCCGATGAACACAATTCCAATCAGTTTCTGCAGATGAAAATGTTAATAACTTTGCACTTTCTCCCTACATGGAAACACACATATACACACGCTCACCTCCCCCAAACCTAGTGCACATTAGATAATGAAAACAAACAGAGAATTCCTAGCAATATATTTTTTGATACATTCTACATCTTCGCAGAAACTGTCGTCACAAGTTGCTACTTGCCTACATACATCTAATCATTTTCTTTTTGAATTGCACAAGGAACCATCAGCAAATGATCACTGTTTAGTTACAGAAGAAAGTCAAAATAGATTCTCTTTTTCAGGCTTATATCTGAAGCATGATGCTGATCCAGGTTAAAGGTGCCTGGCCCATTTTCCCATGAGTATCTGAAGCAGTGAACTCCTTGGGAGTCATCAGCACTAAAAGGCCAGGATGGAAAAGACAGGCAGGGTGGTTAGAAGTTGGGAGGATGCATTCTGAGGTCAAAGTGTTTACTTGAATGATGTAATCTTCCCCTGAAACTAAAACTTGGGATACGTTCAGTGCTGTCTTCCCAAGTAGTAACTTGGAAACCCCCAGTCTTTGGGGCCAAGTCACCTGGCTCATAAACACTGTAAGTTGGTGGCATCTAGGAGGGACCCTTCCATGCACACACGGAGATCAGCAGCATCTTGCCTGTTTCCCCTCCGATCCTATGCCCACTGCTGCTGTCTCTGTCTCCGAGGAAAGTCCCCTGCTCTTGCTTCTCTCTGATCCAATGGTGGATGTATTATAGGTGCCTGAAAACAGGCTAGGTTTTAATTGTGTCTGATTTTTTAAATATTTTTTTTCCTGTGAACTTATCTGTCCTCTTAGCTTGGAGACAGACAGGCTCCTGGATATAAGTGAATTTCCATAGGTGCATTTCCAGCTGCTATGTGGGTTGTTCTCACTCTTTTCAGCCACAGAGACCTCTGTATGCTTTTATTCCACTCTGCTGTCTGCTCCATCTTCATGAAAAATCACCAGCACTCAGAAGCCTCTCTTCCATGAGTGTCTGTGATGCTTAACCTTGCCTGTCAGCTTGATTGGCTTGAGAGACACCAGGACAATGGGCAAGGCCAACTGGGGTCTGTGGGATGCTTCCAGAGACCGTCAGCCTGTAAGTCAGTGAACTGAGGGGTAAGACCCAGCTGGCATATGAGTGGAACCGTCCAATAGGCTGGGGCCTGAATGGCATGAGAGAGGGACAGCCACCAACAGCCGTGCACACAAGCTCTATCCTTCTGCAGGGCTGCACTTTTGCTGCTGTCGCCAATCAGGAACGTCAGACTCCAGCTTCTTCCACCTTTGAAGGCAGACTCACAGCAGCCACTCTCCAGGAGCTTCCAGGCCATCAGCCCCAGACTAGGGCTGCACCATCGCCTCCTCTTATTCTCACTTTCAGCTTCTTCGGCTGAGCAGCTGCTACTGATTTCCCCTGCTCTCCAGCCTGCAGAGACCACTGTGGCACTATCCAGCCTCTGAGCCTCTCAGCCAATCGAGTAAACTCCCTCTTAATTATATGTGCATGCTGTTGGCTCTGGGCCTCTGGAGAAGCTGGACGATACCGTTCCCTACAGGCCAGCCGGGACTCTGAGGAGCGGGAGCGTTTGCAGCTCTCAGGCCCACCCCTGGGACCTTGCCCAGCGCTGATGCTCTGGAGATCTGCGATGCAGGGATGAGTAAAATGGGTTCAATCCTCTCATTGAGAAGATGAAGAAACTGAGATTTAAACAGAAAGCCTTGGCCCAAGGAGAGTTAGTTGATGACAAAGACAGAAATTGAGCTTTTCAGATATCACTTTGTAAGTCAGAGCAGACTAGATTTAGTGCCTCCAAATAACGGGGCTGGGCATGGGGGGAAGGACACAATCCTTTATTCTCCAAGTGTAAAATCTGTGAATAGCCAGCCAGACTTCCTGGTCCTATATTTTTAAAAGATGTTTTCCTCTTAATATAAAAATATTATAAATCACCTAAGGATTAGAAATACTTTCAGGGTGTGGTGCCCACATCTGCAATCGCAGCATTGGGAGGCTGAGACAGGAGGATCCCTGGGAGTTCCAGGCCACAGTAGCCTATCTCAAAAACAAACAAAAAAACTGGAAATACTCAAAGATCAGGAAGAAGGAAAAAAATCAATTCTACATTTAGAATGGCAAAGAAAACCACGGTAAACATCTTGATGCATTCAAATCCCATCTTCACTGTGTTTTCATGTGAAAATACTTTTTAAAAGCACTGCTGTAATTTTTATCCTGTGATTTTCTGTACTTTGCTTTTTATTTTAATATTATAGCATTATCTTTCCCCCCAGTTATTATAAAATCATTGTAAATAAAATTTATATGGCTCTATAATTTTTCAGGAAATTGATGTAACAACAAAAAAATTACTAATGGTTCAATTTTAGATTATTCCCAAGCCTTCCTTATTATAAATACTATTGCTATGAATATCTGTGTAGGAAAGTGGGATGTTTCCATTTGTGGAATATTCTTCCTTAGAATAGAATCCCAGTAGTAGAATTACTGGATCAATATCAAAAAATTCTCAAGTAATTTCCCAAGTCAAGTTTTACATTATTTGTAACTTATATTGTCAAAATTGTTGTCCAAAGAATAATATAAATTTATATGATATCTAGGAATATACCTTGATAAACCCTGATGGGGTTTCTTTGTCATTTAAAAATACTTCCTAATTTGCAAAATAAAATTGATATCTTTGAGTTGTTTCGGAGAAGAGGAACATTTTCTCATTTAAAACACTTGGCTATATTTTTATTATTTTAAAAAATATGTTTGGGCCAGGGTTTTAGCTCAGTGGTGCCATGCCTGCCTTGCTAGTGCAAGGTTCTGAGTTTGATCCCTGGTAAAAAACAAAACCTAACAAAAAAACAGGACATTAAAAAAATGTGTTTGTGTGTGATCGTGCCTATTTGTCTATTAGATTACTAGTATTTTATGTCAATTTATATGAGCTTTGCAACTATTATAGATACGATTACCATATTGGCCTCAAACATACAGGTTTTGCTTGGATTGTTATAAAGCTTTTATTGATGTCAAGTAAATTGTACAAAGTGCACTGTTAGATAAATTTTGATCAATATAATCAAGATAATAAATTTATCCATCACCCAAAAATTTTCTTCTCTTTGTCCATCCTCATCTGTTATTGGGCACTGATCTGCTTCCTGACACTATAGGTCCACGCTTTCTAGAATTTATTTTCGTGGAATCACACAATTTGTACTCTTGCTTTGTTGGTCCTCTTTTGCTCAGCATTAGTAGTTTGGAATTAACCTATGTTGTTTTACCTATCAATGGTTCATTCCTCTTTTTCCTACTGTGTGGGGAGTAGTCCATGGTGTGCATATGCCACAATGTATTTACTCATTCGCCTATTGATGGACATTTGGTTGTTTCCAAATTTTGGCTATTTTATAAATAAATCTACTATAAACACTCACATATGCATCTTCCTGTGCCATATGTTTTCACTTCTCTTGAGTAAATTCCTAGAAGTGGAATGGCCAGATTATATGGTAGGTTAATATTTAACATTTTTCAAAACTGACACACTGTTTCCAAAGTTCTCTACCACTTTACATTTCTGGGGATATATGGGAGCTCCAATTCCTCTGCATCCTCGCCAACACTTGGCTTAGTCAGACTTTAGTTTTGGTCATTCTAACAGGTATGTGGTAGTATTTTGTGATAGCATTAATTTCCACTTCCCTATTCTCTAATCAGCATTTTTTCCTGTGCTTATTATTTATTCTTTTATGAAAAGTCTTTTCAAATCTTCCACCCATTTTTGCTTTCTTATTATTGTTTTAATTACCAGATGAACATCATGCAAATGTTTTCTTTCAATCTGTCACTTTTCTGTTTACTTTCATGGTAATGTCCCTTATACAGCATAAATCTTAAATTTTTATAAAATCCAGTATACCAACTGATTCCTTTATGGACTATGTTTCTGGTGCTAGGGCAAAGCATTTTCTGCCTGATCCAAAGTCACAAAGGCTTTCTTCTCAGAGATTTATAGCTTTACATTTATTTGCAAAAGAACACCCCATTGTTCTAGCCCATTTGAAGAAAGGACTGTCTTTTTGCCATGGAACTGCTCTGCACTTTTGCTGAAAATCAGTTGTCTGTACATGTTTAAGTCTATGTCTGGACTCTATTCTTTTTTTTTGTACAGGGGATTGAACTCGGGACCTTGCACTTGTGAGGCAGGCAGTGGAACCACTGAGCTAAATCCCCAGCCCCCTGGACTCTATTCTATTCCACTGACCACTCGGTCTATCTTTATGTCAATAACACAGTGTCTTGACTACTATAATTTTATATGCCTTAAAGTCAGGAATTTTAGTCTTCTAGAGTTGTTTACTTTTTTGATTGTTGTCGCGGCTCTTCCAGACTCTTGTGTTATCATCGAGATTTCTAGAACACCTTAGTAAATTTCTACAAAAACATCAGCTGGGATTTTGATTATGATTGCTTGGATTTATAGGTGGACTAAGGAAATAATATTTAAAGTACTTTAAGTTATTGATGAGAACTTATTGAGGGTATCAATATATAAAGTTTTCTTTAATATCATTTAGGCATGATTTTACAGTTTTCACTGTCTTCATATCTATATTAATCCTGATTTCTTTA